AATCATGTAATGGATCCAAGCTTCTAGGATCTAGAACAACTGGCTTCGTGGTGTTTAATCTTGCTACGAGGTGAAGTGTAGATTCATCGCTTATCTTATATTCCGACATGATTTTACCGTCTTCTAACTGCTTTCCATTGTAGATAAGTCGTTGTTCATCAGGTGGAACTCCTAATAATTCATGAAGATGTGCTTTAATTTCTTCAATCTTGGCATTTGCCTTTACGTCAGTTTGAAATGTTCCATTCTTTAAGGTCTTAATAAATAATAAGCATCGATCGTCATCTGTTGTAGTAGCGGATCTATTACCAACGCAACCATACGAGTATGTTGTTTTATGATGATCAAATACCGAAACCATCTCAGGTTGATCAGAACTGGCAACGTCTGTACTCAAAGGTATGCCCATAATTGTCGAGAATGCAGCAGTTAGCAGACCAGAATTGGCTTGGACGATTGTAGCAGCAGTCATTATTTAATAAAAACTTTTCTAAAAAAAGTCCAACGTAGACAGTTCAGGTAAAAGGATCATATATTTTTGTGTTATTGAATAGAAGTGACTACCTAACAAGAACTCAAGTAACTACGATACAGATCAAATGTTACGGACTATCAACAGTCGTAAACTAACTACTTTTTCCATCGTTTTTTATTAAAAATAGTCTGTAACGGACATTTGTTTTGATCGTTGCATATATACATGTCTTATGACGAATTGGTATCTTCCAATAGTGGTAGTTGGTAAAAGCCACGTGTGCGAAAGGAAGAAAAGGAAAGAAAAGTAAGTATTCACTTAACATATAAAGAGAAGAATGAATCAAGCTATCATACAATGATGTATGACGAATACGTCCAGTAAAAACAATAATAAAATATGGAAAGTAAAGATTTTAAACCAAAAAGACGTAATATCCTTCATTGTCATAACACAGATCACGTTTCTTTTTAATATTTCTATGAAGAAAATACAAGAGTTCTATTAACACACGTATTGTTGATTTTTATTTGTATACGTATCCTTGGAGAAGCATAGATTTCATTGGCTAAAACGGAATCGAATTATTATTGATATTCCTTTCAGTTGAATAAACTCATTGTTTTCAGCACAACTGACACCTTAATGAGTGATCCTAGATGACTACCATGTAGAACATAATATAACATGATTTAGATGTCACCCATACTCAATGGAGGAGGACGAGTAAATTTTGCGAGTAAATTTATAACAACAACAGCAAATCTATTTCTTATGTTTGAATGTTTTTCTGACTTGCAGAATAGCACTCAGCATATAATGTCCAAGTAAGAAACTAGTACTATGTTATATACGAAATAAGATCTTATCGAGGGTATTGTCTTGATCGAATTCAAACAGAATTTATTAAATTACGTGAAGAAATATTATTGTTTTCCAAGTACACATAACACTTAGATTTAAATACGAAGTTTTTCTTTGTGCATGTACTTGATGACTTGTCGTTAGAAGACACATATGCTACTATATATATTGGAATAGATATCTTGTAGCACTTTCAAATTCAACTAATGGTTTTCTACTTTTGAAAAAGCTGGTTAAATAGAGTTTTCTATTAAAGGATTGAGAATATCAAAAAGATTTGTTCCTCATTTTGATTCGGATGATACTCAACTATTGCAATATTTTTCTGATATTTTTTTGTTAAACTTGTTATTTTTTTCATGTTAACTCACATTGTTAGGATCGTATGATCACAGTTTTTAAGTAAAATAAATATAATTTAGGAGTATTAAATTTGATAAAATAATCATCAAGTAATTTTTTCGATTTAATCAGTTTCTTGAGTTTTTGAATAAAATTTTCATGTCCTTCAATAATGCATAAAAGAAATAAATAATTAATTGGATTTCAATCAACATTTCTATCAAGACATTAAACTAGAACTTTTAAAATATTTATGCTTTGCTTTTACTTCTTTTGATACTATAATTACTTTACATCTGATATTCACTTTCAAACAACAGCATTTAAAGAATAGATGAGATTCTTTTTACAATCTAATAATCATATTATAATAAATAAAATTCATAAAAGTATGAATTATATCCAAAAGAACTTTCATTTCCATACTAGAGATCTTTTTTATTTTGATCTACTGTTTTCCATGCTTCTTGTAGTGCCGGTACTCCTGTTCCACTTGTTTCAGCAAGTAAAGTTGGTGCTGGTCCTGCTGAAGCTTTTATTGAACCATCTGGATTTAATTTTGGATTATTAGCAGCTGATGAAACATAAATATTCCATAAAGCACCAGCTATACTTCCAATAATCGGTCGATAATCTAATGGTATAAATCGAAAGTTAATAAATGAAATAAATGGCCAATAAAATGAGCCAATCACGAATGTTTTTGGCATATCATTTTTAATTTTTGTTCTTGCTGTACGAAGTGAATGCCCTTGTAAAAGAATAATCGCAGTAAAGACAAGACTTATATTAATCGGTGCGAGTAATGTATTAGTTAATATTTTCTTAGCAATTTGAATTCCTCGTTTACCTAATCAAAATACAGAAGAAGAAAAAACAAGTAGATCTACTTAATATTTTCATTAGAATTAACCTGGAAATAATCGTTCAACTGTTCTTGCAAGCGTAAATGACCAAGGTGTTGATACGAGAACAGCTGTCGTACACATGATTCGAGATCGTTCACGATCCCACCATGATAGCATAGAAGATGATGGTGGTATATTACGCTTACCATCTGGACCTTTCTTATGACTTTCTAAATATTGACATATTAAATCACCAGTTGTTACACTTGAACCAATAGCGACAGTTGTAATAATATAAGGTTTGACCAAACTACGCCAACCTATTCAGAAAAATAGCAAATAATCAGAGATTTCATAGTCTGTAAATATACCTTGTAAAGTTTGCGTTGCAATTTTTATAATATTAGTACCATGAAAAGTCATAATAAAAACGTGTATTTGAATAGTAGACAAAAAGAAACTGATACACGTGAGAGAGGAAGAAACAAAATATTATCGCTCGAACGAGTCAGTAGGTATAACAGCGCACTTTAATAACGACGACATTATATATTTTGTATTTTTTTTCTTTCCGTTCTCTTCTACTATATATATTAACAACTAACCACATCGTCATTATTGGATTAAAATAATGCAATGATTCATATATCTTTGTATCGTATTTTAAGTGAATTTGATGGCACATTTTGAATCATAATGAAAAAACTTCGGATAAGGATATAGATGTTAATAATAAAAAAACCACTCACATTGTCTTCGCTAACCGTTTCTTTCTCTTTTTTTAATTATTAACATAGTAAAAACTTTCACTAGTTTACATTATTATGATAAATCTTGAAAAACAAACGAATGCAATTTTAGCATTACGATCAATATTTGATACTAATTTTTGTTTTTTTCATGAGAATGATTAATATAAAATCTCAATCGAGTTTGATCTCATCGATCCATTCTATCTTCGATATAATAACAAAACATTCATTATTTGTTATATATCACCATTTACTTTAATCATTCATTATCGTGATGGTTATCCTCTTTTATTTATTATTTTATGTTTTTATTTTTCAAAAACTTGATAATTATTTGTTTATCAAAGGCGAAATTTATGCTTATGCTTAGATTGATTAAACAAGGAATTAAGAATGGATTAATACTTGACAGAAAATTTATGAAGGGTGTGAGTAGAACAAGAGCGAAACACGCTTGGCCATAACCACACTCTCTTGTTGAACTTTAATCATTCTTTCGTTGCGCAGTTGTTACAACAGAGGGTGAAGACAAAATTGATTCTGACGGGATGTTTGGTACAGTATCCGGTAGAGTTTGTTCATCAGTTTGCACTTCAGTACGAAATGCTGCTGTGTTCTCTTTAAAATTTGTACTTCCTAAAGGAAATGGTGCCGAATAATACGGTTGAATAACACTTTTATAGCCAAATAAACGATAGACACGCCATAAGTTAACGATCATCAGTGTAAAAAAGAATGCTCGAGCTTGTAAAATTCTCTTTGTGCATACGTAATAAATTACTATAGGAATCCAATAGGGAGAGAGCAATGCAGTAAGTAATAATACTTCAATAATAACCAATAACATGATAGGCTTATTACGTTCAATGGAAGGCAACGATTGTAAATATTCAATATATAACGGATGAATTTTAAAATGTGTTGCACCATTACGAAGAAGGCCAATATAACGAGCACTTGGTACTGCATGATGATATAGTATGGATGGACTTATCTGACGAACTACTAATGCATACGCTTCAATTAAACGACCATCATAAGCATGTACATTAACTTTATATGGAATATATCCATTTGCATCTACTCCAGATCCTCCTTCAGTTGCTAGTAAACGTTTGAAATCACTTTCCGTCATCTTATGTAATACTCCATGAATTTCAGAATCAGGATTTTCTTTAATGTTTCCAAAGCATGGCTCTACTGCTGGAATACCACGTAAATCAAAAGTCAATTGCCATCCTTCTAAAACACCTGGAATAGACTCTATTGGATGAATTTTTCGTCGACCAGTTAAAATACTAGGATACATATTGGAGCCATACGCGAAATTGTATACATGCTCTGGATAACTTGTAGGAAACAAAGATTCCGAAACAGAATTAGATATACTCATCTAGAAGATAAACTAATTATCTTATTAAAAAGAATATTTGATACCTTCATGTAATTAATTGAACATCATTGCAAACACAGTAGTTGTTCCGAAATATTCAGAATGTTCGAGTATTCAAAGTTTCAAGTAACTATAGTAAATATTATCAGACAAGTGTAGAATATTGGACGTGATATAAATATAAAAGAACTACCAAAAACTAATACTGAATCTTAACGATATAGGCGTCATTTTTTAATGATGAATGTGTTTCAATACTAATAATAAAAATTAGATGAAAAAACTTGGATCTGCTCGAATTGGGAAATATCTAAATCTAAGGTCTAAGTCAGAACTTATAAAGAATAAGTCAGTTTTATTAAACAGCTATATATGATGTTTCATTCATTCATGGATGTTATAAAAATGCATGGTGTTATGTTGAAGATGATTTCGAGGATTAAGGAAGTTTATTGATAATTCATACAAGACAATGGTACATAATAAAGTAGAAACATGGTGAACGATTCTCTAGGTAGAGCGAGAGAGATATATAGGATATCAGAGGGTATAACATTCAAATAAAGAGATGTCGGTGAAAGAGATGACATCAGAAGAGATATCACAGACATTAAAAGAAACAAGTATTAAAAATGAAGTAAAAAGTATTAGAGAAAGATATCACTACACGACAAAGGAAAGTAGTCAAATGATGTTACTTCGAGAGAATTTTTGTAATTAATTCTCATTGAAAATTAATTATTTGAGGAGTATAGCTATGAATATAACCATAACTAACACCATAATCGATATAAAAGTTTTTGATGGCTTTTTAAGTAAACTTATAAACTGTAATAGACGCTGGATGCCAATGATAGCTAATATTATTTCGATTACTTTGAAATACCATGCAGCTGTTCCAAGTTTGATAAATAATTTATACGATGGAATTGGTTTAAAGCCTAATTTTTTGTAAACAGGTGAACCCATATCACTTGCTTGTAATACCATATAGCGATAATTTGATTCTTTAGCACATATCATAGCTGCAACTGATAATGCTTTGCCTATACCTTGTCCACGTTCACTTTTAACTGTTGTTACATTATATAAACAGGCAATTCCATGAGCTAAATTTATATGACTTCCACCAACTACTCGATCATTCTTTACAGCAACAAACATTCGTAATGGTTTAGTTGGTCCAACTTCTACTTTACTCCATACATTCGAATAAAATGGTCCATGAATTTCAGGATTTTTAAATCCAAAGCTTTCGCATAAAACAGAACCCCATTCAAATTTTCTCATTTCACAATTAGTTTGTGTCGAATCATCTAATTCGTATATTTTTATATTAGGATTTAATTCAACATTCTCTAATACATACTTATTATCGTAAAAATCAATATATTGAAATGTATCAGTTTTCATTGGTAATTCAATGAATCTGTAACGTTGTAGCAAATTTTGTGTGTCAGATGCCGTAGGTTTCACTTGTACACGTACTGGACATTTATATTGAGATGCTAAAGATAATATTTGTTTAATTATTTTATCACTATCATTACGATGATATTGTTTTATTGTATTGCAAATATCTGTATCTAATATTGCATTATAAAAACTCCAATGCATATTAGGCGAAAAAATACAATTAATGATATTCTCTATTTTATGAAAGCGTAATGGTTTAATATCTTTGCCATTTTCAGTGGGATCAGAAGCAGCATAATTTGCAATATAACTGTAAAATGATTTCTGGTTTTCACAAAATGATTCTGATAATTCAGATGGTTCAATATCATTCGTTAATATTTTCATTGTAGACATTTTTTTCACGTTAACAGAATATTTATTCGTTGACGAAATGGAATATATGATAAAATACAGTAGAAATCGGACGCAGAATTCACTGTATTTATTAAAACAAACAACAAAGACAAAGTTTGAAAAACACAGCTCGGTGAAGTATGAATTTGTGCAACTAAAATATAATATTTGCTTCAATTTATAATACAGCTTACGTTACCATTAATTTCTGCGTTCAAGCTGTTTACGTCAATACCTCTATACATCATTGTGTATTTTGTCACTCCATGTAGATGTCACCGGTTTTTAGTCGTTGCATTAGTTATATATTTCATCAACCTTGAGAATATCTAAATAATCGGATGACAGTTGTACAAAAAAGCACATTGCTGTATATTAAGTGAGATTAACAATCGAAGTTTCTTTTTTTAAATTGATCCAATTAATATAATGACATATATTAGAAGACGTAGTAAAAAAAGATAGATTCGAATCGTTTTCACAATTGGATTCTATTCTAGTCGCAAATGTAAAGCTAAATTTTTTAATACAATTCATAGGATCCCCTCATAACATATGAATGAATCTATTGAATCCGAGTTTTGCGAACTTTTTATTCGAAAATCTATCATCAGCAAAGCTCAAGTATCGCATCGCATAACTACAAGTCGATCAGATTATATTTACATTCCATATTGTAGAAAGTATAGTTGTATTTTTATTCAATCTTATTTTCTTGTACTTTTGTAGAAGTAATTTTTTGAGACGTGAAAAAAAAGTCAACACAGCAAAACAAGGAAGGTTATTGGAACTATCTGTTAATACATCGACTTTAAAGTTTACTTTTTTTAAGTCAGAACCCCAAAGTGTATTACTTTAACTTTTAATCAATACAGAGTATAAAAAATACTCACTTAATAACATTTGTGAATAGGTCTACCAACTTCATTTTTGAGAAGAAAAATGTGTCAACCTATAAGACGAATCTTGTATCGAATTAATCAAACAACAAGCTAAAAGATAGATTCAAGGTTGAGTATCATTTGGCCTCTTAAATTATATCACAGTTTTAATATTCTACATTTTTTTACAAAACTGCTTTCATCCAATAGTTCATAGATATATATGTGTTTTTTTAAATGAAACCATATCAATATTCACACTCTCAGAAAAACAATATTTAAATATTATTTTATTTTAACATAAGATCGGGTCTGGAAAGACAATATTTGAGATTAATAAATGTAACTGATATTCTTCTTTAAAAGATTAGTCTTTTCGTTTTTCAGTTATTGAATACTGTTTCATAATATTAGCGGTTAATTGAATAATCATTCTGTTGCTATCGCAATAGAGAAATGAGAAATATTTTTTTATGATATTAAGTATTATTAAACTTGTCTTTGACCTTATTGACGAAGTTACTATTTAACTAAATAATTGTTATATATATTTGAAGAGAAATGGATGACATTTTGCACTATATACAAGGTAATTAGACATATCTTCGTTCTAATTTATAAAGCTATTATTTCATTGAATAATATTCGACGTATATTGAAAAACTAATGTATCCAGGCTCGACTATAATATTTGTTAATGTACATCTAGGCATCAATATTCATCATGAATTTCTAAGTCGATGTGAATTAAACAAAATAAATTACTCTCAAACATAGTCTGTATGGCGTGTAAAATCAAATACAAATGAGAATACAATCAAAAATCTAAGATATCACTAGATTAATTTTTTTCATTAATATTAATAAAATTTAATTTTGTACTTTTTTATCATCATTGTCTTATCATGAAGATTCACACTAATCTTGTATTTAGTTGATTTTAATTCATGAGAAATAATTTATAAATAATTAGTTTTAATTAATTAACTTTCACCAATTGATTTAGATCAATGAAATATTAACGAAATGTAACCATAAAATACAAAGATTATACTACTTTAATAGACCTAAATACCATAATTGACCCTAATCTAACGCTTATTGTTTGTTAATCTAAAGTATACGAGAAAACAATTAAAAATTTGATTTTAAAGCTAAGATATTGCTTACAAATATACCCATGTCGATAAGTTCGCTCTCGGTTTGGTTCGAAAGAATTGGTACCAATTGATATTTATTTTAGTTCATTAGGCTGTTTTTGGTAAAAAGATAACAAAAATTCTACTAGAAAGTAAAAGCATATCTTAATCAGATGTCACTCGTAAATGATGTGGTTTAACTATTTTCTGATTGCATTAAATATCAGCAAATTCTGATACACGCGAACAATAAATACATAAATAATCTACTTCTTTTTTACTTTTACTTTCTTTATAAGTTTATTATATACTGATGTTTGTATAGGAATTCTTTTCCGTCTTTTTTTCTAGTTCGATATAAAAAAAAATCAAATCAAATATTTTACGAAGATTCTCTATCGATTCAAAATTTACAAGTAAAGGTCAACCAAAAAAAAATAATCAATATCAGTATTGAAGTCAATAAGTTCTACAACATTAATAAATGATACAGCTGATCTTGTGTACATTCACGTAATAGTAAAAATCTACAAAAACATAGACATTTAATTACTAATGCAATTAATGACTGAGTTTGTTTAAATACACATCCTATCAATATTGTCGAAGATAATGGATTACAAAATCCTATTGACCAATTTGTTAAAACTGGTATAATTTTCTAATACTATAAAACAGTGTCTACAATTCTTTTTATTTTCTATGTTTTGTTTGTGGTCCGATATTCGTATCTTCATTTTTGCCTTGCCCAAAGACATTCTCATTAAAGTTGCTCGAGAACGTCATCTTATACTTTCACTTGATCTTTAGTCAGATGGATATAAAAAAACATCTTATTTGGGTTGTACAGCACATTCGGTTGATGAATGGAGACTAGATTCATTTGAACTATTTTTTTTACCTTATAGATAAGCAAATAAAAAAGCTCCAAGTATTTTAAAAGTGCGTTTTGATTTATATAGTTTATATTAAAATTGATTATTATTTAACTATATAGGCTTTAGAAGAAGGTATATCTTTAATATATGATTTGAATTCATTTGTATTTGATGTTATATGGGTTTGTGATAGTGGAAGTAATCTTCTTAAATCTTTGGAAAGATATACTGTTGTTCATTGTGTAGTTCATCGACTTAATAATTGTTTACAAAGTATTTGTTTTCAATCAGAAACAATGAAAGTCAAAAAACATATTTTATTTCCTGATTATTATCATGAAAAATCTAAAGATGAAGACGATCATTGTGCCAATCGACTATATTTTTTCATATTGAAAGAAGGACGTCTTCACATATCTACGTTACTTCATTTTTAGACAAGCCTTGGTTTTGAGTGCAGATATAATAAAAGTAGACCTTGGCCTTCAATCTCATGTGAGAAAAGGAGAGAATGGGAGAGAGAATATGGATATAACAAGTTAGAGCATTTTATATAAAAGACGAGTAAGACCATTGTTCTCTTTGTACAACATTTGTAGAATAGTCGTGTGCATTCCTATTTATTCATCTTAATATTTATTATTCTTTGTATGGGTATCAATTTATGATTTATTGTGTCTATTATTTGATTCAAATAAACATTATTAAATTCGTAACGATATATTTTGTGTTAATTATCCATTAACACTTCTCACTTGTAATCTACAAGAAAGAGTTATCAAAGAAATATTTCATTACACAGCAGAAAAAGAATAAAGTGAAAAACAGATGTGTATTTCATTTTAGATTTACTAGTGTGAAAAAAAGCTGTACAAATAACGTTGATATGAACGATCCGCATAGCAAACAATCTTCTCACCAGGACCGTACAGATCATGATGTACAACTCAAAGATACGAATCGATTATCGCTACAAATTACTCAACCAATATCCTTCCACTCCAATCTGTCGGTTCACTTTGGAAACATATTAGAAGTTGATGCAGACTGTATTGTAAACGCTGCTAACGAAGGCCTGTTAGGCGGTGGAGGCATTGATCATCTTATTCACCAGATTGCAGGTTCAGAACTCGCACAGTTCTGTTCTAACCTACCGACCGATTCTCAAGGAGCCCGCTGTACTGTTGGACATTCTGTGATTACACCAGGTTTCATGTCGAAATATAAATTTATCATTCACACTGTTGGTCCTTATCTTGATGAGCAAAATCGAACACAACCGAAATTACTGGCTGATTGCTACAGTACAGCATTCAAATTAGCTGTAGATAATGATTGCAAAAGTATCGTCTTCCCAACTATTGCCACCGGATTCTACGGCTATCCGATGCTGGAAGCTGCGCAAATTGCTGTCGGAACCCTAAACGCGATGTTGGAACAGCAAGAAACAGATTATTCAATCAATGTTTATATTACTGTATTTAATGATTTAGAACAACAAATTTGGAAAAAACTACTGAATAAATAGATATAAATATGGGCGTGAGTGTGCATGAATATAAATAAACGAGTTTAAAAAAAAAGTATGCATGTCTTCTATCCATAGAAATATCCATGAATTCTAAGCAAATATAACCACATGGATATGTCTTAGCAAGTACGAAAAACTTGTAAAGAAAGATCATGAAATTAGAGCAAGACTCGAACCTACATCTTCCAATAACCGGTCTGGTCGTATAGGCTGAATTCTAGTTTTGATTCCATGCCTACTTAATATTGGAGCGTTTGGTGCATGGATTTGTGTGACTTTGAGCTACCGTAAGTTGAAGATTCCAAATAACCGGATATTATATGATTCACGTCAAAGTATTCCATGATATAATTTATCTGTACTTTTAGCGGTTTCGACTTTGCTCATAAGTCTCATTCGATGAGTTCGTTCGATTTCTACCATCGTAATATAACCATGTACCTTCTTGGGTATTTCATACTAAATTCAGTAATCGGAGCTACTATGATCAACTATCATCTACCGTCAGTATCGTTTATACTTGTTATAGATTTCTGTTCTCAATACGGTGCCTTAAGATGAATCGGTCAGAATTTAAATCTAATGAAATCGAGTATTGAGATAATCGGATGCATGAAATAAATACCAGCCACCTAAATATTTAAAATATTCAATAAGAATTTCATTGTAGAAGACATGCTATATACAGTAAAGAAAGAAAGTTACAACTATCACCATCGAATCTAACCAATGAGAAAGTAATCTTCAATGGATTTTTTTTCCTTCGCTAGAGGACATTATAAAATAAAAGATAAAGACAACGTATAGAACAGAATGGAAAAAAAGTAACAGCACATTATTTTATCCTTCTATAACGTATATTATCTGCAAATAAAAACATGTTATACAGGTAGAAAAAAAAAACAATAATAATAACGTCAATATTTTATGTTATTCAAATCTACGATGAGTTTCGAAACATTGGCTAATGAATTATTACTTGATATATTCGAATATCTTTCAGCTGTTGATCTTCTTCGTGTATTTCATCAATTAAATAACCGTTTTAATAATCTTCTTTTTATTCATTACAAAACTTATCATTTGGATTTTCGATCCATATCGAAATGTGATTTTGATATTTTTTGTCAACGATATTTACCACGGATTACTGATCGAATTATTTCTATAACTTTATCCGATGATAATGAAACACCCGATGCAATTAATTCCTTTCTTAGTTATGATATAACTTTCTATCAATTGATTTCTTTACGAGCAATTAAAATATATCATCTTCATTCGACGATATTATTGAATAGATTGATGACTGAATGTCATCAACTTCCATATTTAACTCATCTCAATTTCATTGATTGTTGTTTTAAAAATGAACATCAATCAATTTCTACTCAATTGAATAATCTTTGGATGTTACCTAAACTCATCTCTTGTCATATGGATATAGATTTTCATGGTCAAATTTATATAATTCATCCATTAATGATTTCTACGTCAATTCAATCTCTCTCAACTGAATCATATTGTTACGGATGGAAACAATTAAATCATCTCTTACAGCAGACACCTTCTCTTCGATATCTTCATATATTGTTACGAGATGAGCCAGAAGATGAACAATCACTTTTATTTACTACCCAGGTCAAACACCCCCGGTCGTAAACGATCGTAAACGGCATTT